ACCACGTAAGTAGTTAATTCCACTAAAAAAAATCTATAAACTTCACAAACACAGTTTTTTTTATAGTTATCTTAATTTCAAATTTGGATGAAATTACTCATTAAATAATCAATGATAACAATTTTAGTTAAATTGTTGTAATTTAAAAATATTATACGTGTGAACTTTAAATTGTATAGTACACCTACTATGAATGACTGAGTGAGTTGTGTGCATAATGAATCTGAACTATATTTTATAGGTATAGGTACCTAAATATTTTTATTTTTTTTTTTTGAAATAATAGCTAAATAAATAATATTGTATAAAACTACAAAATTTCATAGTCTGACAAATCGTCTCCACTCAGAATCATTTTGCTTATTCAATGATATTATATTATTGAATTCAATATTTTTATTTTTTTTAATGTTTAAGAAAAAAAAAGTTTATTAAGACTTAAACAACTCAGGTTTTTAGCCTGCTTTAATCAAAATATATACAAGAAAAAGAAAGGGAAATATATATATATGTGTACATTAAATTTTGGAATACATTTTACAACATTATTATAGTTATTATTTACAATGAGTATTTARTGTTTATATTATGGAAAAATGTACTGATTGCAGCTGTGTTTTCATCTTTGAAGGCTTGATAGAGTGATGCAGGATTTTGAAGTATCTTGCGTGCTTCTGTGTTTTTGGGGCAGGTGATTACGATATGTTCAATTGATAGAGAGTCCAAATTTAATACTATCCATTAAAGTAACCCACTTGTAAACTACTAAACAGCAGAGCGATATATTTTTAGCAACTTTTTTTTTAATCTCATTTTATATCATATAATTTTTCTTATATTTATATACGTATTTTTAATGTTTTACCTTCTATATCGAATATTTGAGTTATTTACTTAAAATAATCTAGGACCTAACTAGTATACTTCCTGTAATTAACGCCCAAAGATCCAAATGTGATGCTTTGGTGGAACATGTAGTTCTGGATTAATACAATTTGTTCAAGTAAATACCCTTCGTGAGCTTAAAAATAAAATTATCCAAAACTGATTCGCGATTGAAAGCTAATATAGGTAGCGCCCTAGTCGATACTAATGATAAGGCTAACGGGGAACATGGTCGCCCAACGGCCGAGGCCCATGCTGTTTAGACAGTGTTTCTAGTTTACTTTCCACTTTTTTTTCTTACTGTTTTTTTTATAATATAAATTATATTATACAGCATACCTTTCTATAGTGTCCAGTGTCCAATATTATAAATTATAATATTAATTATATTTAAGTTTTACATCTAAATATATTTTATTAAAATGTTTAATTCGGTAATTGAAATTCGTAGTTGCTCTGCTGTACAGTAGGTTACAGGTGAGGCACTGTAATGTATTGTGTTAAATTTTAATTCAATGATATAATATCATTGTATAAGAAAAACAATTCTGAGCGAAGACGGTCAGTCAGTCAGCCTACCTATGATATTTACTAAGTATATTTGCAATATTGTGTATAAACTATAAAGTAATTTATAGTATATTATTATAACCTAATTACT